CATGATTACTGATAAAGAAGGATTTACTTCTATCATTTATCTGTTTGCTGTATGTATTACATGTTTTCTGTTATTCAGTTCCTCCATTATTGCCCTTTTTTTGTACTTAATGATTATTCTAGCATGCCATTTTGATTCCCTTTTTCTTTCCTTTTCTGTACTTTTAAAATTATTTTCTTAGTGGTTGCCTTGGGAATTACAATAAACACCTTAAAACTTTAACAACTTAATTTGAATAACAGTTTCAATAATATACACTCTATTTGTGTACCTCTGTCCCTCCTCCCCATTTATAATGTTATTGTCACAGATTACCTCATTATACATTTTATACCCACTAACATACATTTATAATCATTGTTTCATGCATTGGCCCATTAAATCATATAGAAAAGAGGAATTACAAACCACACAAAAAGCACAACAACACTAGCTTTTATATTTACCTATGTATATCTCTACCAATGTTCCTTGTTTTTTCTTATTGCTTCAAGTTATGTCTAGTGTACTTTGATTTCAGCATGAAGAACTCACTTTAGCATTCCTTGTATGTTAAGTCTATTGGTAATGAACTCCCTCAGCTTTTGTTTATCAGGAAATGTCATAATTTCTCCTTCATTCTTGAAAGGTAGTATTGACAGGTATAATTCTTGGTTGACATTTGTTTAAATTTCAGGAGTTTAATAAATACATCATTCCACTGCCTTCCAGCCCCCATGGTCTCTGAGGAGAAATCTACTGTTAGTCATGTTGATGGTCCCTTGTATGTGACAAGTTGCTCTCTCTTGCTGCTTTCACAATTCTTTGTCATTGGTTTTGACAATTTTATTACAACATGTCTCAGTGTGGGTCTTTTTGAGTTTACCCTGCTTGGAGTTCAGAGAGCTTTTTGAACATGTATAGTCACATCTTTCTTAAGATCTGGGAAGTTTTCAGCCATTATTTCTTCCAATGTTTTTTATGCCCCTTTTTCTCTCTCATCCTTGTGGAACTGCATAAGCATCTGTTGCTACATTTGAAGGAGTCCTACAAATGCCTCAGGTTCTGTTTATTTTTCTTCATTCCTTTTTATTTCTGCCTCTCAGAGTAAATAATTTCAATGATCTTATCTTGAGATTCACTGATCCTTTCTTCTACATGCTCAAATCTGCTGTTGACCTCTAGTGAGTTTCTCTCATTTCAGTTATTGGACTTTTCAATTCCAGACTTTCTGTGTTACCATTTTTTATAAACTGTTCTTAGAGCAGTTTTGTGTTAAGAGAAAAATTGAGTAGAAAGTACAGAGAATTCCCAAATACCCTACACCCCTACATATGCACAGCCTCCTTTACTATCAACATCCTGCACTAAAGTGGTAATTTGTTACAACTGATGAACCTATGTTAAAACATCATCATTGCCCAAAGTCTATAGTTTACATTAGGGATGACTCTTGGCATTGTACATTCTATGGGATTTGACGAATGTTAATAACATGTATCCATCACTATACTATCCTACAGAACAGTCTGACCACCCTATAAGATTCCCTGTGTTCTGCCTTTCTCTCTTCCTCTCTGCTAAGCCTTGACAACCACTGATCTTTCTGCTGTCTCTGTAGTTTTGCCTTTTCCAGAGTGTCATATAGCTGCAATCAGACAGCAGCCTTTTCACCTTGGCTTCTCTCAACAATATCCCATTTAAGGTCCCTCCATGGCTTTTCATGGCTTGATAACTCATTTCTTTTCAGTGCTGAATAAATTCCATTACTTTGATGTGTCACAGTTTATTATCCATTCACCTACTGAAGGAAACCTTGGATGCTTCCAAGTTTTGGCTCCTTTTTTACAACTTCTATCTATTTATTCATATCTTCATTTTGTTCATACACCATTTTCCTGATTTCCTTTGGTTTCTTGTCTATGGTTTCCTTTAAGTCACTGAGTATATTTAAGACAGTTGATTTAACATCTTTGACTAACATTTCCAATGTCTAAGCTTCCTGAGATAGTTTCTGTCAAATTCTCTTTTCCTGTGAATGTGGTGCATTTTTCTGTTTCTTTGTATGTTTTATAAGTTTTTTAAGAACTGGACATTGAATATTATGTTATAGAAATTCTGAGAATCTAATTCTCCCACTCCTCAGGGATTGCTGAATCTTGCTTGTTGAGGGCTGGGGTCCATTTGTGACTTTTCCAAACTATTTCTGCAATATATGTATTTCTTGCATGTGGTCACTGAAGTTTCTCTTCCTTTATCTCTGCAGTCAGCCAGTGACCCAACAAAAATTTCCTTAGAATCTTGCTCCAAAGGGAGGGAGAAGAATACTGTCTTTAATTTCCTGAAAGCCTCTTCAGCCCTCGTAGATTGAAACAATGGCCACCAACCTCTGTGCTAGCCCATCAGCAATCAAAAGAAGCAATTAATACTCAGAACACGGTCCTCATTTCCCTTCTAGGTTTGAGAAAGTTGCACCTGGAACATAAGCAGTTGTCTCTAATGCTCCCAACAGGGGGCTGGTGAGTGGTAGCCACTACCATGCAATAGGCTGAAATGCATTGAAATCCCCAAACTCCCCAAATTTATCAACCTCTTCATCCAATTCCAAATAGTTACTTCAGACAGTTGCTGCCAACTTGGTAGCTGTTAGGTGGAGGGGAAGATTTCTGAGCTCACTTCTCTGCTGTCTTCCCTGACATTGTTCTCTTCACATCCCACCTTTGATTTGAGATGCTTCCTAACTAACAAAGCTCTGTGGGTGACCTGCTTATTCTCAAGAAGATTTTAGAATCTGCTCTCACTCTCTGGTGTTCCTAAATTTCATCATGGTGGGTTCTGGTTTATGAGAACTAACTACACCAGATACCTGACTGTTCTTTGAATCTGGAAGCCAATGCCCTTCAAATCTGTTTTCTCTGGAACTTCCATTAGCCAGCCTTTGGACCTCCTGAAATGATTCCATAATTTTCATACATTTTCTCTATTTCCGGGGAAATTTCTTCACTTACATCTTACAACTTTTCTACTCATGTTTTTATTCTGGCTTTTATATTTTTTATTTCTAGTCATTCTTATTCTGTAATATTCTTTGTCTTTAAAAATAGTACACCATTCTTTTTTGTGAACGTAAAAATTCTATCTTTCTAAGGATATACATCATCACTATCGCTGCCTTTGAGCTTTCTTCTGCTCCCTGCATTGTCTCTGCTGGCTCCAGCACATTTCTCTGGCTTCCCCTTAAGTTCTCTTTCCTGTGGAGGCTGTTCTCCAACCTCAGGGGGTCCTTGGCTGCCGGCTCACGGTTCAGACTGAGGCACTAACAGCGACTGGACTTTCAGGGTAAACCGCAGGGCTGCAAACGTGGAAGCTTGGCTCTGGGGCAGCCAGGCGGCAAGCTGGTCATTTGCTGGAGAGCATCTCCCGCTTGGTGCCTTCAGGTCTCCTTTCCTTTGGCTCGGTTTCCCCTGAACAGTCTGCTGATGCCCTGCCGGTTGCAGAGTGGGGAAGGAGACATTTTTAAAGACCTAGCCACAGCACTCCTTACAGAGCAGCTAGAGGGAGGATGGCCTTCTTGCTGCTGTTTCTGAAATCCACCAGTCTGCCTGGCGTGGGCATCTGGCTGGGCCTCAGGTCCTCTTCACGTGAATTTCCATTGCCTCACCCCGCTTCCTCCACTGCCAGAGATACTCGGTGCCTCCACATTCAGAGACTTCTGAGGTTCTGCAGCTTCCCTCTCCCTGTGAGCATCAAAGTAGAGAGCTCTTCAACTGAAGCCGGTCACCCAGTCCACCTGCCTTCCATATTTCAAAATGTTGCTGTAGTAACATTCTTTAGTTTCTGTAGGAATATTCTACTGCTGTAGTGATTCTTTCATTCTATTTGTCTTTGAAGACAAATATCTTTTCCTGTCCTTTTAGTAGGGTTTCAACAGTGAAGGAAGATAACCCAGGTGTTTAAGCTGTCATGTTAAACACGGAGCCCCTGGTCTTTTCTCAGCTTACTTTCATTAAAAAATAAATGAATGTCTTTCGAAATGTTTAGAAAGAAAAGGTGTTGGAGACTCAAATAACACGAAGACAGTAAATTATAGAAGAGGTGATGTATTCGTGTAATGGAAGACTCAGCAATACAAAACAAATTGCTGATAGAGCCTCGGTGGTGCTGAGTCTCAGGTATCTTGGGAGGCTGATAAAACCAGACACAAAGGTCCAAAAATAGGCACTATTAACGACCTAGAGCGATAAAAGCCTGAATAGAAAGTCACGTCCGGGAGTGGGTAGTGGATGGGAGCGGGTCTAAGAGAGTGTTCGCGTGCAAGAAATGTCCTGCACTTTGCTGTGGGCGGCAGTGACACTGGTGTATGCATATGGAAAAATTCATCAAGCTGAACATGTAAGATTTGTGCACTTTGCACATGTCACTATCTGTGCCTCATATAAGAAAAAGGGAAGGAAATGGACATTTATTGAGTGTTTGCTAGACACTAAGATCTGCTTTTGTTTTTACTCAATCATTTAGTGATCACCTACTATGTTCCAGGTACTTTCTAGGTTCTGAGGACTCAGCTATAAATAAAAGATTAGAGTCCCTGCCTGCATGACGCTACCTACAGTCAGTGGGGCAGACAGCATCAAATAATCACCCTGATAAAAGTGGAGTGGCAATAGTGACAAGCAAAGGGCATATCAGTATGAAGAAGAGTATGTCTGGTTTAGGGAGAGTTCAGAAAGGCTTCCATGAGGAAATGAAGCCAAAACAGAGATCTACAGAAACGGGAGGAAATGACCAGCCAGGGAACAGGGAAGAAAATGATTTCATGCAAAGTGAAAAGCATGTGCAAAGATCCTGTGGTAGGAAGAGGCATGGCATGTGAAAGAGGGCAGAGAACAGGGCCAAACTGGACATGGCTGATGCAAGAGAAGGAGCCAGACGACAGCCAGAGTGGGAACGAGAGCAGGAGAGGCCACCTGGTCCCAACAGGCAGCGGGATGTCAACTGCCCTTACACATCCTGCCTCTCAGCTCCACAGGGCCTGCAGATGGGGATGGCCATGGAGCCCTGCCCTGAAGAGCAGTACTGGGATTACCTGCTGAACAACTGTGTCTCCTGCAAAACCATCTGCAGCCATCAGATTCCACGCACCTGTGCAGCATTCTGCAGTGAGTTCTGCGGCCTGAGCCCTGGGGGCTGGACCGCCCTGCCTTCCCCATGGGGTGCCTGAGGAGGGGGTAGTGGAAGGAGATGTACAGTGGGGCAACCCTTTACCCCTCCATCTTTCTGCTCTGGCCTCACTGGTCTCCTTGCAGTTTCTTGAATATGCTGTGTCCTTACCTGTCTCAGGGCCTTTGCACAGGTTGTGCCCTCTGTGTGGAGCACACTTCCCCTTTCTTCTCCCCTCAGCTCCTTCCTACCCAACCTTCAGGTCTCAGCCCAAATGCCTTCTCTGACTGCCAGTGAAAATTAGGCCCTTCTTCACCATCCTCTGTTCTAACTTTTTGTGGAACTTTTTCTTATACAAAATATCTAACAGAGACAGTATATAATAAACCTGTGCCTACCCACCATTAGCTTAAAAAAATTCTGCCTTTTAATTTCCAACCAATTTTTTGTGTATCTTAAAGCAAATTCAAGAACTCATATCATTATACCTGTAAATACTAGATCATGAATCCCTCAAAATATAACCTCAATATCTTACCACTCCTAGCAATGATTTTTTAACATTGTCTAGACTCAGGCTATATCCAATTTTCAGATTGTCCTAAAAAATATATTTTTCCTGCTGTTCTTTGTCATAACTTATTCTTCTCCTTGATGGAACTTATCACAATTTTATTGTGTTCTTTCATGTGTTTTCGCCTCATGTCTGTCTCAGCCACAAGACTGTGGGCTCCTTTCCTTACTTGAGCCTAGCACAGTTCCTTGCACATAATGCTTCATAAATACTGGCTGAGTAGAGCTCAGAGAGGCTGAGTCACTTGTCCAAGACAACACAGCATAAATAGCAGAATAGTTAGGGTTTGCACCAGGACTCTATGACTCCAAAACCATGACTTTGAACCACTATCCATTAATGAAGTAGAACATTCACTGTGTCATTCCACAAATATTCATGGTGCTCTCAAGCCCTTTGAAAATAGGATTTTGATATGACCCTTCAAGGGGGTTCTCATCTAAAAGGAAAAATGAATACCATTTAAGGTAGAAGTGTAAAGTCCTATAAACCCCACAGCTGGAAGAGACTACCTCTTGCTGATGGGCTGGGGAGCAGGGAAGTACCCCTGGAAGAAGTGCCCCTGAGATGGATTGCTAAGAGTTCGGAGATGCAGAAGTCAGATGAGGGACCATGTGGGCAAAGGCATGGAGGAGGGGGAACACGGTAGGAAGTGTAAGGCTCAGAGGGGAGGCATGTGAGGCCAGGCAGTGAGGGCTGGTGGTGTGGGGTGTTCAGGCACCACCTGCTACAGCCGCACAGGGGACCCTGCGCTGGGGAGGAGGCCGCAGAAAACCCCAGGAACACCGTCACCATCGGGCAACTTCATCTCATGAGTGGTGGTGTCAGTGGAACCTCTGGGCAGGGGCAGGACAGGGCGGGGGCAGGTCACTGGTCCCATCAGGACCCTCTGAATCTCCCCTGAGGTCCCAATTCCACCATCTTTCTGGTCTTTTTCTTTAGTCTGTCAAGGACATAAGGATTGGTGTGTTTGTGTTACAAAAAAGGTGCAAATCGATAGTCTACTTTAACCTTCCATTAACTGAGTGTTTATTATGTGTCAGGCACAGTGGTGGGAACTTAGAAATCTTAAGAAGTCAATATTATTACTTCTCTCTTAGAAATGAGGAAACTGAGATACAGAGCATTTAAGACCCCACGACCTGCAAGTGGTAGAGCTAGGGATGCCCCCAAGTCCATCTGGCTTTGAAATCTGTGTTGTTAACCTCTATCTTGCACTGCTTCTGAACCGTGCCCTTAAAATCCCCTATATGAGCTACCTTTTCATATACATAGAATCTCATGTTCAAGGTAAGGGGCCTTTCCCTGTGGGAGTACGGATTCCTGTCACGCACTCAGAGTTGCCCTCTTAAGGCAAGTGTAGTCGGGCTTAGGTTTGCTTGGCTTCTGCCCCCTGGCACTGATGCCTGTTTAAGCTCCGGAATTCTCACTCTTTAAGACAGAAAAAACACTATTCATTTGAGCTTTCCCAGCTTTCTTTTAACCCCCTCCTCTGGCTTGCCAAGGCAGATTCTGGCTTTCCCCTCCAATTCTAATTTAATATGAAAATGCAAGTAAAAAACTTATGTGACAATGTAATAACCTGGGTATCAATTTTAAAAGATAACTAGAAAATTCTCTTATGTTTAGAAACTAAGAAATGTGCATTTAAATAACCCATAGGTCAAAGAAGAAAGAATGAAAATTAAAAACATTTTAAACTAAATAGAGAAAATATACTATACATCAAAATGTGTGTGATGCAGCTAAAACAGTATTTAGAAGGCAATGTATAGCTTTACATTTGCATATTGAAAAGGACCTGAATTACTCTGAAATTACTTTGGGGGAATGGATTGTGATTTTTTTAAACTCTGATGCCCTCTGAGGCCAGACCCACAGCTCCCACAGGACTCTGTCACCCAATGGCACCACCCATTTCTGTCTCTCAGAGTCCCTCAGCTGCCGCAAGGAGCAGGGCAGGTACTATGACCAGCTACTGAGGGACTGCGTCAGCTGTGCCTCCATCTGTGGGCGTCACCCCAGGCAGTGCACACACTTCTGTGAGAGCAAGTTCAGGAGTCAAGTGAACCTCCCACCAGAGCTCAGGACACAGAAGACTGGGGAAGCTGAAACCAGGTCGGACAACCTTGGAAGGTACCAAGGATCAGAGCACAGAGGCTCAGAGGCAGGACCAGGTAAGCCATCTGAGGTTGGTCTGCATGAAGTCTGAGGGTCAGAATGGGTGGAAGGCCAGGCACCAGGCCTATATAAGGAGGGTGTGCAAAGCAGGAAGTCCAGAGTCCAGGCAAAAGAAGCCAGGAGGTCATCACAGGACAGAAAAACATTTAGGCAAAATATCCAGAAGTCTGTGGACAAGAAGGAAGCAGAAGAAAAGACCTGGTCATTGAAACCCTTTTAACGGAGGCTGAATGAGTTCTTAAAACATAGGGTAGCAAGTAACCAGCGGGACTGACCTGTGAGCAAGAGCTGATTCCATGGAGACTTCCTGAGGGTGAGAAGGAAAAGTATTACAGACTGAGCTTGCCGGGGGTGGGGTCGGCCCTTTGCATACGGTGAGAGGTCCCTTGAACCAGGCATCTACTAAGTGCTGAGCATGGCAAATGGTCCGATTATTCTCCCATAAAGCCCCTCTTGACTTACCTACCTTGCTCTGTAGTGCCAGAACGGATGGATGGCAACGCCATGTGGACGCATAAGTACTTGAGGTGATGTTTACACGGCTCTTGGCCTGTCAGTGGAGAGGCGAGGCCTGAAGTTCCCAGGGCGCTGTTTGGCTGCTCTTCCTTGGTCACTTTCCTCATGATGACATCATTTCCACGAGTCCAGGCCCTAGCATCAAGATGTCAATGGGCAGGCACGTGTGCCCCGATACAAGGGGCTGCCCAACACTGGGCACTCTGCTCCGTTAGACTGTTGTCGCTTACTCTTTTCTGCTCGCTTGTCAGCAAGCTGTGCCCATATAACAAACAGCCTCAGACTCAGTAGCTTATTATTCCTCAGGAGTCTGGTGCTTGGCTGGCTTAGCTAGAGATGATTCTGCTCCAGGAGTCGCCCGTCCGCGTTCTGGAAGCAGCTGGCCAGCGAGGCATATCCTTCTCATGGTGGGGCAAGAGTCTAAGAGGCTCAGAGGAAATACACAGGCCTCCTGAGGCCGAGGCCAGGAATGTGCATTAATCATCGCCATTGCCTCCCACTGTTCAATTTACATAGCCAGCCAGATCCGAGGAGGGGACCTCTCTTCCTCTTGGTGGGTGGAGAGGCCAAGAGTTTGTAGACACGGTGAGTTTGTGGCTGGTTTTAATCTATACCTACCTCAAAGGGCTCTCACGATCTCATGTGACTTTGGATTTTGATCACATAAGACCATGCTTGCACTTAAGAGTCCTGGCTGGGTGGAAAGAGCAGAATGTGGGTCCTTTCCTGGGTTGGGCTGTATTAGCTTCCTGTGGTGCTGTGACACCGTGCTGGGCTTATATCATAGAAATGTATCCTCCCACAGTTCTGGAGGCTGGAAATCTGGTGTCAAGGTGTGCAGGGCCACGCCTGCTCTGGTGCCCTAGGGAAGGCCCCTGCCTTGCCCCTTCTGGCCTCCGGGGCCCACGCGCTCCTGGGCTGCTGCAGCATGCTGGTCTCTGCCTCTGCCGTCACATGGCTTCTCCGCGTGTCTGCCTTCTCAGGACACTTCTCGTGGCAGCCAGGGCTCACCTTGATCTAGGGTGATCTCATCCTGAGATTCTTAACTTGTTTATACTCCCAAAGGCTCTTTATTACCAAACAAGGTCATATTTGCAGGTGCCAAGGAGGAATCTCTTTGGGGGGCCACCATTCAGCTCACTACACAGGGTTGGCGGAGGGGACCCACAGGGACCAAGAGCTCTGGGCTGGGTCCCCCAGAGGGAGGGTGATGCCAGCCTTGGAGGCAGCCAGGACCGCCACATGGATGCGGAGCCTGGAGAACTTGGACTTCCTTGGCCTGCAGGGTGGTGGTTGTGGTCACAGGAGTGGAAAAGTTCCCCGGGGACCTGGAGGTGTGAGGAGAGAAAAGGACTGAGGGGGACACCTACGTGGGGGCTCAGAACCTGAAGGGGCACAGAGGCCCCACAGACATGCGGGGAAGGAGTGGTGGGGAGGCCCGAGCAGGGCCTGGAGGGCTGTGGGTCCACAAAGGCCAAGGAGGGAAGTTCTAGGAGGGGTAGGCGGCACAGCCGAGTGGGATGCAAATGTCCACCAGCTCTGGCCACAGGGAGGTCAGGGGCCCCTGTGAAGGGCCATTTTCAGGTGTCCCCAGGTGGAGGTGGCCTTCAGGCAGGGAGCCCTGCCATCCTTGGGGCAACAGGCTGGCCTCTACCTCCCCGTTCCCTGACTTCACCTCCTCATCTATCTGTCCCTCAACATCTTTCTGGAAATGTCCTAATTCCATCTGTGAGGAATGCGCAGGGGTCAGGGAGAGCAGAGCCGTCCTCAGGCCCCTTTGTTCCCCAGAGTACGGGATGCCGGCCTGGGCCCCAGAGCCCCATCGGGGGGTCACAGGCAGCATGTCAGAAGCCAAAGGAGGAGAGTGTAGGGGAGTCGAGGGACACCAGACAGGGGGTGCGAGGGCTAGAGGCCAGAGGAAGGGCTCACAGGAAGCACAGTGGGTGTTTAAGGACAAGAACAACTAACAACCAGGTTAATGGTTTGCTGGCCATCCTCGCAGGTGGGGAATGGCCGTTTCCTCGTTGGGGCTGAGCATCTCGGGGACGGGGTGACACCACTTCCGTCCCAGGAACCGCCCAAAGTTCCCCTCCATCGCAGCGAGCTGGACAGGCAGCCTGGCTTGTGTGTGTTCATCCCAGGGTGTAGGCTGTCTGTGTCCCGACTGCGCCAGGCAAGGTCCCAGGCATGTGCCCTCTGCCTTCCCAGGGCTGAAGTGGAGGGTCCTGGACAGAGGTCCCCAGTGAGACCCACTCGATAAGACGTGGGGAGCAGAGGGTGACACATGACCTGGAGGTGGAGAAAAGGAGGCAAGCGTCTGGGGAGATGAGGGGCAGTTTGTGGGGCTGAGGGCGGTTTCCTTGGTTAACTGTAGAGGTGATGGGCATGGCCCAGGGCCAGGCAGAGGGGCTGGGCAGGGGCAGAGGGCAAGAGGGGCGTGGGAACCCGTCCTCTCAGGCCCCCGCACTCTCAGGAGAGGCAGCCCCTGGGAGACCACGGCCTCGGGCCCCCTGGTCCAGAGGCGGTGGAGGGCGGAGTGGAGGACGTGGCATTCTAGAAACAGGCGCCACTCCCCTCCCCACTGTCCAGAACTTGTCTCCCAGAGTGATGGCAGCCGAGGATCACACACACAGAGGAGGTGGGGGTCTTGAGAGTGAGGCTCACACACTGCAGGAAGCCCCCTCTCAAGAGTGAACACTCGACGGAGCGTCCCCAGCAAGCAGCGCACCCGGAGGAGGGTGTCCAGCACGCGGGGTGGTCTTCCACATGGACTGGCCCACAGGCCGTGCAGGGAGTCCCGCGAGGGGGAGGTGCAGAGAGTCTCCTGAGCCCGGGCCTTAAAGAGGCCTCCAGCCTCGCTACTGCCTGGAGGACAAACTCCCAGAGGGCCGAGGCACGGACGCGGGGTGCCTGGGGACTTGCTGGAACATTCCACCCAGGCCTGGCTGCCCGTACTCTGGCATGTCTCACCTCACAGATGCCAGGCAGCAGCGAGAGCAGGGATGTCATACCCCCTTCACAGAGGAGTAAACTGAGGCCTGAAGAGGCGGAGTGGTACGTACGCAGCCACGTTAGCCTCCAGCCGCTGCGGCTGCAGAGCCCGGGCCAACGTCACGCCCGCACGCCCGCGCCACGAGCGCCTCTGCTCTGCTCCCGAGCGGCATTGCAGCCCTGTCGAGCAGAGGGCACCGGCAGTCCGGGGAAATCCTATTTTTAAGTGAGCGATGCCTCTGAAGACGGTAAGAAACCCAAACAAACCAGCTTGTTTTTCAAGGGCCGCCCGCGCAGCCAGAAGCGGCGCGCGGAGCCTCCTGGTGGTCCCACCCCCAGGAGCTGCGCCTGCAGCGCCGGACGGCCCGACGCCGGGGACGCGGACCACGGCCTGTGCGCCTCCGCGGCTGGCCTCTGCCCTGCGGGGGCCAGGTGCCTGCGGGCCGGAGGAAGGCGGCTTCTAGGCCGCGGGCCTGAGTGACCTTCCAGATGGACCGGCGCAGGGCAGCGCGGACGCCCCCGCCCCAGGAGAGTGCTGGCGCTCACTGTGGCCAGACCGAGCGACGGAACCCGGCCGGGTGGTGCAGAAGGAAGCACAGGGACGGCGGGCTCCCGAGCTGCGAGAGCTCTGTGACATCGCCGCGCCTCCGCCGGCCTGACACAGCGCTGTGCATGTGTGGGATACCCACAGCAGCTGTGAGCTGTTTTCCTGTTTGAAGTAAAGGATACACAGAGATCATTACAAAAAAGAAAAGACAGTATTTTTTTTTAAATGGTTTCGGGCAAAAGTCTCCATCCCATCCCCAGCTGCCCAATGTCTCTCCCCAGAAGCAAGAGCTAGCAATATCTTGTCGACACGTTTACATCTCCATGAGCATTTCACACGGAAATTTTCACTTCATCCCTCCTGGAGGTGGGTGCCCCTTAGACACCAGTACCCCCCCACCCCCGTGGCCGTCTGAGTGACTGGGGAGCCTCCCCTGCCATGGGTGCACGGCAGCGCATGACAGGTTGATGGGCACCTGGCCCGTGCCAGGCTTTTGCTGCATGCCTACGCTCCCTGTGTCTGAGGGCAGGGTGGTCCCTGCAAGTAAGTCACTGGGCCCACAGGAATCAGGAATGTGTGTTTTCCTTGTTGGTAGATGGCTCCAGATGGCCATCAGAAGAGGCCTCCAGCTGGGTGAGGGGTGCCTGTTGACCATGCCTTCGGGACGTAGGGGAAAGGGGGCATCTTCTGTGGTTTTAACTGGCATTTCTCTTAGTCCAGGGCTTGGTAAAGCATGTGGCAGGGCAGGGCCCCAGACAGGAACTAGGTGCATTCCTCACAGGCAGCCTCAGATCACAGGTCTGGAAGGAGGGATGCAGAGAAGCCAGAACAGGTCCTTGGGCCCCTCAGGGGCAGAGTCTCTGCTCTGGTTGTCATTGTGGCATCCAAAAGTCGCCAACAACTTACATAAATAACAACCATTTATAATCTTGCATGGTTCTGTGGAGAACAGGTCACCTGCTGGTGTCACCTGGGGTCCCCATGCGGCTATAGGCACAAGGTGCTGGGGCTGAAGTTACTCGGAACTCAGCTTTGAGGCTGTGATGGGTCGGCCTCTCTCTGGCGGCTCAGGGCTCCCAGGAAAGCACAGCAGCAGCCGCACTGCATGCTCCTGGTTACAATGAGGCTGGCTCAGCCCAGGTTTGAAGGGCAAATATGGGGAGGCAGCTCTTTGGGCACCATCTCTAAACACTTGCTGCCAGTCTCAGAGCTGGGCTGGGTGTTGGAGTTCACGCTAAGAACACCTGGGATATGCACATTTCATCTTTGTCCTTGAATCACCGAGGCTATTCACATGTCCTTTCTCTGGTCGCTCTCACCTCTCTGGCCTCAGTCTGCAGATCTGTAGCACCAGTGTGTGCTGTGCCCCACTGGGGAGTCTTGGCTTCCCCTCCCCATGGCCTCTCTGAGCTCTGTGCAAGGGACTCAAAGGTCAGTACCACAAGCCTGGGGTAGCGGTATCAGCTCATCCAGAGCTCGCATTCTCTTTCTGTCAATGTCAGGGTGGCATTGCCACCTTGTCACTTTAGACAACTTGTGACTCTGTGGAGCGTATGTAAGGAAGAGGGGTGGTGTCCACCCTCGCTGCCTCTGTGGCCAGTCTGGAGTCTGTCAGGCCTGCTCCTATGTGCAGCTCTGCCCCTGGGAATGAATGACTTTGAAACTCACTTTTGCCATCTGAAAAATGGTGCGGCCACTGTGGAAAACAGTCTGGCAGTTTCTCAAAAGGTTAAACATAGAGTTATCATCTGACCGAGCAATTCTACCCCTGGTGTATGTTGAAGAAAACTAGAAACACCCAACAAACACTAGCACACAAATGTTCATAAGGGTGGGAACAGCCCAAATGTCCATCTGCAATGAATAGGTAAAAGGGGGTCTACCTCCACAACGGGGTGCTGTCAGCCATAGAAAGGAATGGAGTCCTAACACGAGACCACATGGATGAGCCTTGAGAACATGTTGAGAAAGAAGCCAGTCACAAAGGGTCCCATTACTGTGTGGTTCCATTCATATGAAATATGCAGAAAGCAAGCCCATAGAGACAGAGAGAGAGTAGTGGTGCCAGTGGCCAGGGGCGAGAGGTGGGAAGTGACTGCCATAGGTACAGGAGAAGGTCTCCAATTAGTGCGATGGTCGCACAACCTTGTGAATATACTAGAACCCACTGAGTTGTATGCTGTAAAATGGTGAATTTGATGGTATGGGACTGTTACCTCACTTTCTAAGCAGGGTGATGGTTCCTCCTCCACAGGGGCAGGAGGATTAAAGAGGCACCACAGAACGTGCCTGCATGCAGCACCCCTGGCATATTACATATATATACTACTAGCTCCAGCTCCTCTGTCTTTCCAGGGTGCACCCCAATTCCAGGAGCCAGGAGGAATTTCAAGGGGAAAGCTTTGGCTCAGGGCTGGGTTTTCTCTAGCATCCAAACCAGAGGTTCAAGGGGTGCCCTGAGAGGGCCCCACTCCCCTGTCCTTTGGTTTGCTCCTGCTATCCCAGACTGATCGGCAATGCTCTCCAAGGAGGACTCCTTCTTGGAGGAAGGCCCAGGTCAGGATGGATGGAGACAGTCTCCCTGGACTATTGTCCAGCTGGCCACATCCCATAGCAAGGGGAAGTGGCCAAAAGGACCACCTCCAAGGTGTCCACCTCTGAGGTTGGGAGGAGTTGGTACTCACCTGGGTGGAGGGGGCTGATTTCCTTGAGGACCCAGAGAACACACCAGCCAAGCCAAGGGTGAGGAAGGAGCCAGACAGGCCCACAGCAGGCAGGCCTGGGGCCCAGCCCTGTGAGGGGGCCACTGGGGGAAAGAAGAACCATAGGCCTGAAGGGGGACACTTTGGAGAAGGGGCCTGGGCAGTGACGGGCTGTCACCTCAGGGCCTCACCACTGTCTTGCAGCACCCCCAGGACTGAAGCTGAGTGCCGACCAGCTGGCCCTGGTCTACAGCACCCTGGGGCTCTGCCTCTGTGCCATCATCTGCTGCTTCCTCCTGGCAGTGGCCTGCTTCCTCAAGAGGAGGGGGGACCACTTCTCCTGCCAGCCTCCCCCAGGGCCGTGTGGGATTCAGTCCAAGTCCTCTGAGGGTGAGCATGAAACCCTATCCTCTCCTTAGCACTGCTTGTGCGACAAGCTGGGGGCCACCCCTCTGTCCTGGCACTGCCCTTGCTTCTCAATGGAGAATGTTTGCTAGCTCTTCCTGGAAGAGGTCTGGGGAAAAATATTGTACTGTCTTGGTGAAATCAGGTTCAAACATCATGGCAAGAAGAGACGGGGCCCCTGAGGAAGGCTGGGTGTAGGGTGAGGGCCATCCAGTCGACAGGGGCCTGTAGGTTTGCCAGCACACAGGGCTTTCAGGAAAACCAGGAGGAGGTGGTCACCCCAGGGGTTTTGGGGTGCTGGCAGAATGTCAGCCAAGGTGTGAAAGCCTGCTCCTGCAAAGGCTCCCCTCGGCAGAGGGGGGATGGCCAGGGACTCCTGGGGGGGCAGCACGGTGGAGGAGGGCAGGGCAGACTGCCCCTGGAAGCGCTCCATCTTCCCCACCACCTGGCTGGCTGTCCCCTGGGTGCAGGGCAGAGCTGGAGGGGTCGGTGCTAAGGCAACGCACTCTTCCCACTCCCCATTCGGCAGATCCCTGGATGGAGGCTGGAAGCGCTGCAGGCGGGCCGCCAGAGCCGGTGGAGACCTGCAGCTTCTGCTTCCCCGAGCGCAGGGCGCCCACCCAGGAGAGCGTGGGCGCGCCGGGAACACCCAGCCCCACGTGCTCGGGGAGGTGGGGGCGTTGTGGCCCGACCGCGACCAGACAGCCCTGCGTGCGCGCCCCCGACGGCGGCCTTGAGGTTGTGTGCGCGCCCGCCCAGGAGTGGGGCCCGGCAGCCTGAAACCCGGAATGGTGAGCGCGAGACGGGGAGCTGGGCACACGTGAGAGAGACGAGCCAGGGTAAGGAGGCGGGTCGCTGCCTTCGTCCCAAGTCTCTGCTGTGGGTCGCCGTCCCCGAAACACTCCCCAGCAACCTCCTCCGCGTCTCTGGCACGGCCCCCAACTGCCCTCCTATAGAAATAAAACTTTTCACGCTGCCCGCTCCTCGCCATCACTGGTGTTGGTCGCGCCTGCCCCTGTGCGGACCCCGTCCTCTGCTCCAGGCCTCGCTGCAACGCAGACCAGGCGCCGGACCTCCGAAGCCCGCGCGCTGGCGGGCTCCCCGGGGGCTGCTGACCCGCGCCGGGAGGGAGGCGCGGGCCCACGGGACCTCCGCCGCGCGCCGGGAGGAGAGCGCTAACGAGAGGCCCGCGGGCAGGCAGACACCGCCTTGACAAGACCAAGTCCCAGCGCGCCTCCCCGGGGAGGCCCGGGACACAGCGCGCGCGTGCATGTACGGGTGCGCGCGTGGGTGCGCGGGGCCGCGCAGAAGCCGCAGGCCGTTTTCGGGGACGGAGTCAGGAGCGTTCTCTTTTGCAACGGCGTCGACGACGTTCAGCCTCCAGCCTACATTATTAGTTGCTCAATATTTTTCTTTACACTCATCTCACCTCTTCCTCTACACCTTCTTTAACCTCATGCACAATTTTATGGATTCGGACTGGTAACACTAAACAGTAATATCTGCGTACTTACAAATATTAAACGTTTCGAATTCTGGATTTACGTTTTTATTAGTAGTGAAACCTGTATTTTAGTAGCATTTAAGTAACTATTTACACAGTAAGATAAATGCATGACTACCTAAAGCTAAATTATTCATCCTATGCAGCCCAAACTTGTGCACACCTGTAACACATTTTGGGAGGTGTAGACAGGAGGCCTTGCTGCACCCACCTTTTCCCTTTCCACCCACTGGTTGAAAGGCTGTGTAAGGCTGGAGGTACCGCAGGGAGAAGGGCGAGGACAGTGCAGGCAGAGCACAGACAGCACCAAGTAGCTCTGTGCCATATGGGAAAGGAATGAACAGCTCTTCCTGGATTTCAGTCCCATGACATCCCGACAAACCCCGGATGCAGACCCCCTCCATCTGGAAGGAGGAGACCTCTGGCTGTCCATCACCTGACCCTGAGCCAATAAAAATTCCCCACATACCACTAGTGGGGGCCCACTTCCCCCTCCCTTCCCTGTTCTCTTAAGAACTCCCGGCCTCCCCTCCTGGGTGTGACTTCCCCAGCCTGTGATAGCCAGACCAGGGAACATCACCTGGGAATTGCGCTCAAATAAACTGCCTGGCCCTTTGTTGCCTCTCATTGCCTGCTTATTTCGGCTAGAATTTATCTTACATTTGGTGCTGAAAAAACCTGGGAAGGAGCGTGCGTGCGGGGCCTCCGACGGGCCTCCGGTGGCCCTGCCCCCTCCTTCCCTGACCCGGGACCTCAGCTTGCTCTCTGTTGTGTGGACTATTTTCCAGTGAGTCCCTCAGTTTCCCCTGGTCTGTTTCCCTTCCTAACCCATTTTCACCTGGTCCGTTAGAAATTGTAGCTATGTCCAGGTTGGGGCATCCGGACCACCCCTGGCCCTGCAGTGCGGGAGATGTCCCTCACCCAGACCCCAGGACATCTGCGGGCATCCAGCCCGCCCCTGGCCCTGTGGTGGGGGAGACGTCCCTCACCCAGGCTCCCAGGATGTCTCCCCTGACTTGGTGCACTTGGGATGCTGGGCGCTCCTCTCAGCGGGATTAGTTGGGGCGTGACACAGACATGGGGAATCAGCCCTCAAAAGCAGAGGCTCAGACCCTGTTGCGGTGTCTCATTTCTAATTTGGCTACTCTATTGTCCTGGGAAGTTCGCAAACGGAAGCTAGTCTTTTGCTCTCAGGCCAGGCCTCAGTATCCCTTGGACAATCAATCTCGCTGGCCCCCCCGAGGGAACTTTCAATTTTGGCCTCCTCACCAACTTGACTAATTATTGCCACTGGAGCAGAAAGTGGAGTGAAATCCCATATGTGCAGGCTTTTCGGACTTTGCGCACCCGCCCAGACCTATGTGTTAAGTGTACTCCTTCCCAAGTTTTGTTAGCCCAGGCCTCTGCCAAGGACCGCTGATCTCTACCCCTCCTATTACTGGGCGGCCCATCTCTGACAGACTCAGTGGAGGATCTTGGCTACCCCTCTTCCTGCTCCTGCAGGCCCACTGTGGGGGCCAGCTCCCTTCCTCAATGTTCATGTCCTCACCCCTCCTCCTCTCTCTCTCTCTCTCTCTCTCTCTCTCTGCACCATCTTGTTCCCCTTCTCTTTTGGTCTCTCCACCATCTTGTTCCCCTTCTCTTCCAGTCACGCCACCGTCTTGCTCCACAGGTGCCAACTCCACTTCGGAAAAAACGGATAAAACTCCCCCATATCCTGGTCCCCTGCCTTCAAGTTTCACATCGATTTCCAGGTTGTATCCCCTAACTGCCTCCTCCGTCCCCTCCTTCAAACCTACTGCCATCCAACTTGCTGTAGCTGGCACCCAAATGGTCTAGCCCTCCTGTAACCCACTCTAAGTCACAGTGGTCTCAGGCTCATGAGATGGCTCCTCTGAGGGAGGTGGTGGGGGCTGAAGGGGTGGTGCAGGTTCATGTTCCCTTTTCCCTGGCAGACTTGTCCCAAGTAGAACAGCGATTGGGTTCCTTTTCCTCCTACCCCGTAATGTTTGCTAAACAGTTTAAATATCTCACTTGAGCTTACAAGCTCACCTGGCATGATGTACATGTAGTCCTCCAATCCACTCTAACCCTGGAAGAATATGACCATGTCATGGCAGCAGCACAGCACTGTACCAATGAGGCCAACACCACAGATGAATGGGAACCTATGGGTAGAGAGGCTGTTCCTCTACAGGAACCCCTGTGAGATTATAATTCTCCCGAGGGTGAGGCGGGCTGGGATCGCATGGTTCGCTACTTGTTGGCGGGTATGAACTCAACCACCCAAAAGGCCATCAATTATGATAAGCTTAGAGAAATTACCCAGAGGCCTGATGAAAACCCATCGGAATTCCTCAAGAGCCTCAAAGAAACCCTAGGGGCTTTTACTAAGATTGACCCAGCCTCAGCATTGGGCTCCTCTCTCCTGGCCATGCATTTTATAATTCAGTCGGCTCCCAACATCAGGCGCAAGCTTAAAAAGGCTGAGGATGGTCCCCAGACCCCTCTAGGAGACCTGGTAGATATGGCATTTAAGGTTTTTCATGCCCGAGAGGACAAGAGCAAGAGGAGGTCAGCTGCCCGAATGGCGGAACAGACTCGCACCATAACAGCTGCTCAACGACTGGCTCGTGGGGATTGTCAGGGTGTACCTGAAGATCGACTCAAAACTCTGGGCCCTTGCTTTCAGTGCGGTGAAGAAGGGCACTGGGCACGGAAGCACCCCAACCAACTGCACAGACCAACCAGACCGTGCCCCAGCCGTGGTAAGCGAGGTCATTGGAAAGTAGACTGTCCACTAGAGGGTGGTCCTCCTCCGGCGGCAAAGCCCCATGGGGGGCTGACACCCTCGAAAGACTACCCTTCAGACCTGCTGGGCATCCTCGAAGATTGAAGATGCCTGGACTCGGACACCCTGATCACCCTTGCCAAGCCCAGGGCCAAGCTGTGGGTAGCAGGTAAGCCCATCTCCTTCTTGGTAGATATGGGGGCTACCTACTTTGTTCTCCCCTCCTTTAAAGGGCTTTTATACCCTGCCAGAGTCTCTGTAGTTGGGGTCATGGGAACCCTCTCCAAGCCTTTAGAGATGGGCCCAGTGGCCTGCACCTTCCAAAGCATTCCATTTACCCATTCCTTTCTGGTCATGCCTTCCTGTCCTACCCCTCTGTTATGTCCTATAAGTTTGCTCTATAAGTTAGGAGCCTCTATTTTCCTCCCACCTTTTAAACACTTAGGTTCCCTCATTGCTTTAGTCAGCGAAGGAGGGTTAGACGACAGGGACCTGAGTCTCCCAACTCCCTGGACTGTTGTCAATTGGTCATGTGGGACATCTCCACCCCTCTGGTGGCATCCCACCACACCCCAGTTTTAATACGCCTTAAAGACCCTTCCCACTGCCCTTCTCGGCCTCAGTTTCCTATTTCGCAGGCTTACCAAAAGGGACTACAGCCTATTGTTGTTGTCTGCTCTTGCAAAGGCTTTTAGTGTTGGCTAACTCTCCATACAATACTCCCATCTTGGTGGTAAAAGAGCCTTCTGGAGCGTATCGCCTCGTTCAGGTCCTCTGAATAATTAATGAGGCTGTTATTCCCTTACACCCACTAATGCCTAACCCATATACTCTTCTGTCTCAGGTCCCTTCCGGTACCTCTCATTTTACTGTACTGGACCTTAAAGATCCCTTTTTCACTATATCTCCCCACTCAGACTCACAACCGCTATTTGCCTTCACGTGGGAAGACCCTGACACCCGTCGGTCTAGACAATTGACCTGGACAGTTCTACCTCAAGGTTTTAGAGATAGCCCCCATCTTTTTGAACAGGCCCTGGTGGAGGACCTCTCGTGACATTCATTGGGCGAGAGTACCCTCCTCCAACACGTAGATGATCTTTTACTTTGCAGCCCCTCAAAGGAGGCCTCAATTCTGGACACCACATCCCTTCTTAATTTCCTGGCAGACATGGGATACAGGGTATCCACTGCCAAAGCACAGCTGTCTCTACCCCAAGTTGCATACCTCGGGCTAACTCTAACTCCCACCACTAAGCCCTAATGGCAGATCGAGTGGCTGCGATTAAAGCTCTCTTGCCACCTACTTCAGGAGCTGAGATAACTATCCTTTCTAGGATTGGTAGGGTTTTTCAGACACTGGGTGCCCAACTTTGCCCTTCTGGCCAGACCACTTTATGCGGCTGCCACAGAAACTCCTACTGGGCTGCTAACTTCACCCAGTGAGGTGACTTCTGCTTTCAATCAGTTGTGGGATGCGTTGCTCTCATCCCCAACCTCCCATTGATGCTCCCTGACTTAACTAAGTCCTTTACCCTATATACAGCAGAGAAAGCAGGGGTGGCCACCGGAGTGCTGGTACAGCTAGTGGGGCCGGGGTACTGTCCTGTTGCCTTTCTCTCCAAACAGTTAGATACCACCGCCAGGGGGTGGCAGCCTTGTCTCCCAGCCCTGGCAGCTGCAGGAAGTCTGGCCTGAGAAGCCCTGAAATTAACTCTCCAACAGCCCATTACTGTGTATTCCCCACACCGGTTACAAGATCTTTTGAGTCATAAATCCTTGGCCTCCTTGAGTACTTCAAGGGTACAGGAATTCCACCTTCTGTTTATTGAACATTCATAGGTAACCCTACAAGTCTCTCCACCCCTTAACCTAGTCTCCTTGCTTCCCGTCAGCGATCAGGTGGATCAGCCCACTCATTCCTGTGTAGAAGTTGTAGAGGCTCTTAGAAAACCTAGAGAGGGCCTACAAGACATGCCCCTTGAAGACCCTGACTTGACTTTTTTCATGGACGGAAGCTCGGTGAAGGGGAGTGACGGGGTGCAAAGGGCAGCCTATGCAGTGGTGACTCTGTCACAGGTGATGGAAGCAAACCTACTCCCATCTGGGACCACCTCCCAGAAAGCCGAATTAGTGGCTCTTACCTGGGTATTACAGTGGGCAGCCGGGAAGAGGGCCACAATGTATACTGACTCTAAATATGCCTTCATAATTACACACACTCATGCTGCAATTTGGAAGGAAAGGGGCTTCCTTACCACTAAGGGAACCCCGATCATCAACGGCAGGGCTATCAGCCACCTGCTACAGGCCCTACAGGACCCCAAGGAAGTGGCCATTGTGCATTGTAAAGGACATCGGACTGGAAATGATCAAGTAACCAGAGGTAATGCATTGGCAGATGCCACGGCCTGACAGTTAACATCCGGGTCTAGCCAACCCTCTGTGCTGTCTCTTTCCCCCTCTCTATTGCTCCAATACCCCAATGATGAATGGCAACTGCTTCTACATCAAAGGGGGATGTTGAGAGATCAGGGACAGATATACTTTGGGGGATGAATTGCCCTCCCCCAAGCCCAAGGCAGAGATATCATATCCAAAATTCATCAGTTTCTACACATTGGGCCAGAGGCCATGCACCAGTTTCTCTCCCCCATATTTGCCCCGTATGGTCTCTGCAAAGCAACAAATCAGGTGCACCAGACCTGCACTACTTGTCATGGTGTCTCATCTCAAGGTGCTCTGAAGACCTTGATGGCCCTCCACCAGATGAGGGGAGTGATCCCTGGAAGGACTGGCAGGTCGATTTCACCCATATGCCTTAGCATAAAAAGCTCTGGTATTTACTAGTTCTGGTTGATCCTTTTCAGGGTGGATAGAGGCCTTCCCCATCTACCAAGAGACTGCATCAGTGGTGGCACAGGTGCTGGTGGAACACATCGTTCCTCGTTTCGGGCTCCCCACTTCACTCCAATCTGATAACAGACCTGCCTTCATCTCCCGGGTCACTCAGCTAACAGCCAAGGCTCTCAATATCACCTAGAACCTCCATATACCCTATCACCCCCAATCATTGGGTAAAGTCAAAAAGGGCTAATGGTCTCCTAAAGACCAACTAACTAAGCTGTCTGTAGAGGTAAAGCTCTCATGGCCCAATCTTCTCCCCATTGCTCTCACTTGGCTGCATGCTGTCCCCTGGGGACCAGCTGAAGTAAGTGCATTTGAGCTGATGTATGGCAGGCCCTTCTTACTGAACACAGGCCTGCCCGCTACCTCTCCTCCTTTGGCCTCCAACCTTCCTTACTTTTCACTGTTGAGACATCTTCTCAGGGAACACGCAGACCACTCCTACCTCAACCTACATCATCCAACAACCCAGGAGATGCAGCAATCCTTCAGCTAGGGGATGAGGAACTTCTAAGAGAACTCCAGCCAAAATCCCTCCAACCCCGCTGGACAGGGCCTTATACAGTAATCCTCACTACGCCTTCAGCAGTCAAACTACACAGGCATTCTTCCTTGTATCACCTTTCTAGGCTCAAACAGGCCCCCGAACACAATGATTGGGTGTATTGTGGGTGGGTTCTCTTAAGCTGCAGGTTAGTCATGTCAAGTGCAACCAGCCAGATGAATAGCCCAGTGGTCTCCAGGCAGAGTTACTCTGCATGGAAGTTTAAGCTCCAACTAGCTCTTTCTCACAGAACCAAAGCCTGAGAAGTAGGCACCCAAAGTTGCCCACATGCAGGTTGTCAGACACCCGTTCAAATACCAATACACACAGACATCTTAAACACCTTCTCAAACACAACGCTGTGCTTTCCATGTGACCAAACCTCTCATACATGTACTTTCCAGTCCAACATGTATGGGGGATGTCATCCTGAATTAGACACATGTAGGGTTCGTGCAGTAGGAGATACAACAAGAGGAGTCTCTGACAACATGTTCGCCAGAATACAGGATAGGATATACATTACCATTAGTGACCCATGGGATCAATGCTGGGAGAAAGGAGTACAGGGCAAGCTATACGATAGTTACCAAGCCCAGCCATGGGGCACAGTATACATCAAGATGGAATGGACCACTGTGAATGCCACTCTCATGCAGGTTCTAAACACCCAGGTACAGGTATCAAATAATATTCTACAGACAGAAGAGGCACTAAAACAGAAGATTCAGTCGGACCCCTACCCCCGCTCCCTTCGACCAGCAAAAGCACCACTTTCCTGGGCTGGAGTCATTGGAGAAACAGTGCAGTTTCTTAATGCTTCACATATCCTCAGCAATGTTGTGGGGGCCCAGCCTACGGCCGAGGCTGAGCCCCACTCTAGCTGGACAATGCCCTAAAGATGGCGCCTGCTTCCTGCTCACCACCCTTTCCCCTCTTCCCTGTTGGGGATTGGCCCAGCAGACTTCCGTACCCGTGCACAGCTCGTGCTGCCCGCTTAGAGTGGCGTGTGACACCTATCCGCTTAAAGGTCATGCATGATACTGTCCTGGATTGGTTAGGTGACTGAATATAAGGGAGCCCGCCGGGAGGGAAAGAAAAAAAAGGAGGAGCTGCCCGACAACTGCTGTAACCACCATGAGAGATTAGACAATAAAGCCTAGAGAAGAATCAAGACCTTGGGCGTGTTGCTTCGGTCCCTGAAGGGTCGCGACAAGTGGTGCCGAAACCTGGGAATCGCTAAACCTCGTCGCGACCTGATCCGCTGACCCTGGTGCCTGCTGATGAACGTTGCTGGACGCCGTTCGGTCGGCTGGCCAGACCGGGAGAGGGAACCGAGGAGGGTGAGTGGATCGGCGAGTAAACTGAAAGTATACGTGGCAGGGCAGACAGCAGGCAGTTGCGGTGGGTGTTTATGTGTAGTGTGTGTGTCCTGTTAGTGTTTGTGATATTATGTGTAGTGTGTGTGTCCTGTTAGTGTTTGTGACATTGTTTATTATAATATATGGAATGAGGAGGTGCCAGTGAAGGTTCGCAGAGCGGCGACGAAATCAAAAGGTTCGCAGAGTGGCGACGAAATCAAAAGGTTCGCAGAGTGGCGACGAAATCAAAAGGTTCGCGGAATTAGCGACGTAGTCCATCTAAATCATAACTAGGATACTTCCCCCTTTAGAGAGAGGATGGGGACGGAGGACCAGGATTGGGTTTTTCTTCGGGGCCACTGAGGGAAAACAGCCTAAAAAGGCCCGTGTGGGTACCTCAGTGGCCCCTCACCAAAGAAAAGAAGGAAGCAGCCCACACTTTAGTACAAGAACAGATAGCAGCTGGTCACCTCCAGCCCTCTACCTCGCCATGGAACACACCTATTTTTGTAATTAGGAAAAAGTATCAAAGACTGTTTCTTCTCCATCCCGCTTCACCCCAGAGACTGTCAAAGGTTTATTGCCACAGGGCATGGCTAATAGCCCCACCATGTGTATGTAAAGAAGGCCTTACAAACTGTCAGGAAACAGTTTCCCCTGATAATCATCTATCATTATATGGATGACATCCTTTTGTGTCATGAGAGCAGCAGGGAGCTAGAGACAACCCTCAGGGTCAGGGTATGGTGGAACGCACCCACCTCACCCTCAAGAATGCCTTATATAAACAAAAAGGGGGAATAGGAGAAGATTTTAGAACACTGGACAAAAATGGCCGCAGTGCAGCAGAGCGGCACAGCTAACAATCCAATCCAAAACACATGCCTAAAGTTTTGTGGAAGGATGTGTTGGAAGGAACATGGAAAGGCCCGGACCCAGTGATAATCTGGACCCGAGGCTCGGTTTGTGTTTTTCCACAGGACCAGCAGAACCCCGTTTGGGTGCCTGAACGTCTGATACACAGAGTGGAAAACCCCGGAGCAGAGGTACAAGATGATCGCACTGCTTCTGCTCCTGCCGTGGATCCTACAGCAGGCGACGGCGGAGCCGAGCTGCAGCTGCAGCCACCGCCACGCTGACTATCACCATTCCTACGGCAGAGATGCTGAATGGTCTGTCCCAGGCCACTGCCTCGGCAATGACAGCGCAGAACGTCATCAATGGCCATTTTAAGAATGGGATGGCCTTGGTCAACCAACGCATGAACCTTCTTCAAGAACAATTGGACCTCTTGGGGGAGGTTTTGTCTGTGGGCTGCGTATATGAGGGTGTATTACTGGTATTGCTAATTGTGGGCCTCTCCTGCTTGGGAGGAAAGTCTGTTACATAAACAGCAACGGGGAGAACGGAAGGTCCTGTTGCAGGCCATGGCAGCACTAGAGGAAGGCATCTCCCCTAGAGTATGGCTTAATATGCTGGATCAGTAGTCAAGGACGGGTAAGATTGGGAGCTGCGCATATCAACCTAAGACAGGGCGCAGACCTAAGCTGTCTGTTGCCTGAGGACGGGTAAGAATGCCGCAGACTCCGGACGACCTAAGACAGGCATGATCCCGACAGCCCTTTGGTTATAAAACAATAAAGGGGGCGATGTGGGGGCCCAGCCTACGGCCGAGGCTGAGCCCCACTCTAGCTGGACAATGCCCTAAAGATGGCGCCTGCTTCCTGCTCACCACCCTTTCCCCTCTTCCCTGTTGGGGATTGGCCCAGCAGACTTCCGTACCCGTGCACAGCTCGTGCTGCCCGCTTAGAGTGGCGCGTGACACCTATCCGCTTAAAGGTGATGCATGATACTGTCCCGGATTGGTTAGGTGACTGAATATAAGGGAGCCCGCCAGGAGGGAAAGAAAAAAAAGGAGGAGCTGCCCGACAACTGCTGTAACCACCATGAGAGATTAGACAATAAAGCCTAGAGAAGAATCAAGACCTTGGGCGTGTTGCTTCGGTCCCTGAAGGGTCGCGACAAATGTGTCTGATTGTTTCCTCTGTGCCTCCCTCCAACGCCCCCCGGTTGTGGAGGTTCCTGTTAGTTTTCTTCCAGGATCAACCAGTAAACTCCTCTGAAAAGGACTGTGGCCTCCTTTTGAGCAAGATACCAATGTGAAAGATGAGCCTTAAGCCTGGGGCTTGCCAGGTCCAGGGCCACCAGAAAACGGTACAAGGAATAATCATCCCCACTGACCTGCTACCTGACCCAGCATTCCACCATCTTGGGATTGTCAATGAGAAGCCAATGCCAATGACGGGTGACTGTAGACACTCTAATTTCCCTTCAAGGGGGTGGATTTTTCTGGTGCAACAACACACCAGTGTATCAGCAGCACCATGATAGGACCCTGCTTTTCAGTGATGCTAGGTCCCCAATTAATGTTATACAACAAACCTGAAGTAAAACAGGTGCTAGACAGAGGATCTATGTATCCAAAAGCTGGGCAAAAAAGGGCTGTCTTCCTACCTGTACTAGTAGGAGTAAGTCTGGTCACCACAGTAGCTGTGGCCGCCACAGGAGCAGGAGCATTAGGCCATAGCCTAGTCAGCTCTCAAGGTCTCACAAGTCAACTGGCAGCATTAGATGATAGAGTGACCCTGACCCTGGGAGGAACCTCAACCTCTCTTATTTCCCTCCAGCAGCAGCTTACTTCCCTTGCCCAAGAAACCCTTCAAAATAGGCTGGCCTTAGATCTGCTTACCACAGAAAAAGGCAGAACTTGTATTTTCTTTCCTACAAGAAGAATGCTGTTACTATATCAATGAATCTGGGACCATAGAACAAAGTGTTAAAAATTTACAAAAACTACAAAAAGACCTCCACAAAACACGAGTACCTGAAGGTAGCCCTTATGGGTGGCTTCAGTCCTCCATAAAGGCCTGGCTAATGCCTCTACTGGGCCCCTTAATAACGGTTTGTGGTTTACTCTTAATTGGCCCATGTATTTTCAGGTTCCTTCAACAGCGCATGGAGGAAATATCACACATAAAGGTCAATCAACTGTTGCTGCACAAGTATTCACCCCTCCCGACTGAGCCTCCTCTGGACATCAACCAGCCTTAACCTCCCCCCCCCCACCATGACACCTCTTGTCAACCAGAAGTAGCCAGATCGAGTCATCTCCCATTATGACCAAAAGGCTGGAATGTAAGGCTGGAGGTACCAGAGGGAGAAGGGCGAGGACAATGCAGGTGGAGCAGAGACAGCACCAAGTAGCTCTGTGCTGTATGGGGAAGGGATGAACAGCTCTTCCTGGATTCCAGTCCCTTGACGTGCTGACAAACCCCAGATGCAGACCCCCTCCATCTGGAAGGAGGAGACCTCTGGCTGTCCATCACCCAAGCCTGAGCCAATAAAAATTCTCCACGTACCCCTAGTGCAGCCTACTTCCCCCTCCCCTCCCTGTTCTCTTAAAAACTCCCCGCTTCCCCTTCTGGGTGCGACTTTCCCAGCCTGCATTCCTTCAGACTGGTGAACCTCACCCGGGATTGTGCTCAAATAAACTTCCTGGCCCTTTGTTGCCTCTCGTTGACTTCTTATTTCAGCTAGACTTTATCTTACAGGCTGTATGAGCTTCCTGTGGCTGCTGGAATGGAGCACCACACACTGGGCAGTTTAAACACCAGCTTCTTGCCTGGGTTCCAGGTGAGACACCCAAAATGAGGGGTAGCAGAGCTGGCTCCTCTGAGGCCTGTGAGCAAGGATGCCTCCCAGGCTCTTCCTGGCCTGGGTCTTCTCTCTGTGCATTCAAATTCTTTTTATAAGGACACCAGTCATGTTGGATGAGGGCCCACCTTAATGCCCTCATTTCACTTTGATCGCCTCTGTAAGTATTCTGTCTCCAAATTCTTGGGGTCACATTCTGAGGGGCTGGGGTTAGGCCTCAACACATGGATTTTGGGAGACAAGATTCAGCCCATAACACAGGCCCTCCCCCAGTCCACCTCTGCTTCATCTCTGTCCACAGGCAAGTTGGCTTCTAAAGAGTGTCTGCCTGAGGTGTGTCTGACCAGCAGGGCAAATGGCTCCATCTTGGTTGCAGGTAGATTCCTACCACCACGCCTAATGCAGGTAGCTTCTTACTACAGGATGGACCTAAAATCCTGCCACTGGCATAGACAGTAGCTGGATGTTGGCAAAATAAGGCACATTCTAGAGCCGCACAGATGCTGCTTCGAATGTCAAAACTTGTCTGAAAGGCCTGCAGGTTTCTGTTCCTTCTGTGGTTTCAGCTTCTGCTCATCTGACCCAGAGGCTCTGAGAGATGTTCCTTGTCCTGGCGTAGACTTAGGGCTGCTGAAAATGCAGGATGCTGAATGCCCAACTCCAGCTACCATCAGACCAAAATAATCCTGGTTTTGTCAGTTTTCAATGGATCTTTTGTATAGGTTCATGTTTTTTTTCTTTTTTTTAAAGATAGAGATCCCTTGCTAGAAAGAAAATCTGAAACTCTAAATACTACCCATTTTATCCATATTCTGTATTCTGCTGGTTGTCTCCAAAATACATTCTGATCACAATTTGTCATAGCCTCGTGAAGCCAGGTTCCTGTCACTGCTCACCCGGGTGGCACAGCAGCCCCCACTGGCCTTCCTGTTGCCCCTTTGTCCCCTGACCCAGGGCTCAGCAAACTTGTCTGAAAGGGACCAGATGGAAGCACTGTGGGCTTTGTGGACCAGGCAGTCCCTGCAGACAGCAGTCCAGCTGCTGTAGCACCAGTATGGCTGGAAGTAAGTAAACAAAGAGCCAAACTTTTTGTAGTTACTGTTTTTAGTCTAACGACTTGCAGTGTACCAGCTCCAAGAACTGACAACTTCTTGAATTGAAGTACTTCAATAAATCTGACAGAGTAATCATGTCAGTAGTAACAGATGGGATATGATCCACACACTGGCAATTTTCAAGGATAATTCTTATCAAAAGCAATACACTCCCAACAACAGCATACTGTTGTCCCTCCACAATGAGGATTTCAGCTGGTTTCCTTTCTTCTGTAGCCCCTGATTTTTTTTCAGGCAATCTTTCCATCT